AAATTTTAAATATGAAATCCAATAAGTGAACTGTTTACTATGGAAATATGCTAAAACCCTCAGAGGACGATACCAGAATTCAGTGTCTTCTACACTGTGTATTATGGAAATTGCAACTAGCAGACATACAAAGAGAGAAATACAAAGTATACTTATAAGAAATGAAAAAAATGTAAATATAAATAACCATATTCTGCTGTTAAATTTATTAGAGAAAATTATTTAAAAAATAAAGTTATTTAAAATATGAAGGAAAATTTGAACTTCATAAGTAAATAATTTGAGCATTTTGCCACAGATAGGAAATCATTAAAAAAATAAGTAACCAAACACAAAACTGAAATTCCAATGATACAAAGGGCAATTCATGGGGTAAGTTTAATGGAAATTAAAATGGTAAAAGAGATAGTGAGCATGAAGACAGAACAATAGAAGTCAGCCAATCTAAAAATGTAGAAAAGAGGGGGCTGGAGAGATGGCTCAGCCATTAAGAGCACTAGCTACTCTTGCAGAGGACCTGGATTTGGTTCCCAGCATCTATGTGGTGGTTAACTCCAGCGCCAGGGAATCTAATAACTGTTTCGGACCTCTGTGGTCATTGTGTGGCATGGGTGCACTTACATACATGTAGGCAATACACTCAGACACATAAAATAAAAACAATGAATAAAATATTTTAAGAAAATAAACACATAGAAAAGAAAAGGTGTAAAAACTAGAGAGACTTGGAAAGCTTGACATCTGTATAACAGAAACTTGAGAGCAAAAGAGTAAAAAAAGAAGAGAAAATATACTTTCAAAATAGTGACTGAAAAATTCCCAAATTTGAAAAAAAAAATTGACTCAGGGTTGAATATCCTCATTGAACTTGAAAAGGAGAAAATGTAAATGGATCAATGTATAGCAATAAGACAGCCACACCCAGATGAACGTCCAGGGCAGAACAAAAATCCTGATGCTAAGAAGCAAGGAAAACTAACATACTATGACGGGAAGAAATCTTGTCAATAAAACCACAGCCACTATTAAAAATAATTGAGATCAGAAATCAGTGAAATGACATATTTTAAATGATGAAAAAAAGGATAATCCAGAAGTCTGTATGTGTATGAGTATATTGCCTGCATGTATGTAAGTGCTCCCGTGTTGTGCAATGCCAATAGAGGTCAGAAGAGGGCATCTGATTTCCCTGGAACTAGAGCTATGAGTGGTTGTTAGCTGCCATGTGAGTACTGAGAATTGAACCCAGGTCCTCTGAAAGAGTAGCCAGGGCTCTTAATCACTGAGCCATCTCTCCAGCCCCCTTGTCCAAGGTTATTACACCTGGGGAATAAGAAATTCCAAAGAGGTAATGTGAACTGATACAGAGTGAACTTGTTATAACATCAATTCTAATTAGACATGGATGATGTTAAAGTGCATGACATTAGTTCACAGTGAACGCCTACCAGCTTGGGAGACATAGTAAAGAAAACAACAGAGGAAATAAAATGGAATGCTAAAACACAATGTGAGTAATCCAAAAGAAGGCATAAAAGGTTCACGGTGGGGGGCGGGGGGAGAATAGCAAGATGAAAAACAGACTCAACTATATGAATAATTGCATGAGGTTTCTCATCACGAATCTAATTCTCAAACAGATTGCCAGTTTGGTTGCAAAAGGAAGATTAAATATTGACTATTTATAAAGATGTACTATAAACCTCAAGGCAGAAATATAGGAAAGAGAAAATTAAGCACTGTGGAGACACTATATATAAGAAAGCTGGTGTATTGTTGTCTAGCAGAGGGAATCCATGCGTAGATTTTAAAATAAAGATAAAAGACTGTTTATTAAGAAAATAAAACAATCCTAATTATGCAATGACTGACAGATTAAAGATTGATGAAATAAAAACTGACCAAAATTAAAGGAAAAATGTTTGGAGAACTTTTCATACACCACTTTCGGAAGCATCTAACACTAAAAGCATTTTAAAAGACTTGAAAGTTCTTTAGTTTAATTAAATCAACAGTTGTCAAGTGATGCAGCGACCTTCTCCATTCACTAAGAGATATAAAAACACTTGTCTGCTACAGTACCTGGGCATGAGTTTCCCAGCAGCTGCCTTCAGAGCTCTTACAACTTGGAGTCAGGGATTCATCAATCCTTATGTAGGCTCAAGGTTGGGAACTGTGAGTCTTTCTCACTTATCACTTTATTATTTGAGCAGAATCTCTCTATTGAACATAAGCTAGCTGGCCATTGTTATTGTCTGGAGATTCATTGTCTCAGCCTCCTGGCTCTTGGGATTACAAGTGAGCCACCATATCTACCTGACATTTACTTGAAGTCTAGAGAACCTGAAATCTGGTCTTCTTGCTTGCACGGTAAGCATTTTATCCCCTTAACCATCTTCCCAAACCCAAAATATAATAAAACACCACAATCTAGTGCTGGGTGTCGCAGTTGCTGGCTGTCATTCAAGCACTGGAGAGTCTCTTAGGCAGGAGGGCAGTGAGCTAGAAGGCATCCTGGGATACACAGGGAGCCCTTGCTTCAAAAAAAAAAAAGTACAAGAAAAAGAATTTCATTTTATCTATTACTATTTAAGACATGCAAGCTCCTTGAACCAGTAATTCCACTCTGAACAACTTATCCATTAGAATGAAAACAGCACAGATAACCAATGGTGAAAATGTTTTATTGTATCATCTTTTTGAAAAGAAAGACAAGAATGAAAAAGGAAAGTGTACGGTCACCAGAAGAGAAACTACAAAGAAGCTGAGCCCTTTCTTTAGGCTGTTGGTTGAAGAGAAATTGGAGATTCAAAGCATTAGGAGTTGTGACTTGCTGCTGTTGACTTGCAAGTGGAGAGAAACATCTGGAATGTGTGAGACACTGTGGACTCCACCCACACCCACAATCCTGAAGAGTCCCCACGATATAGGATGAGAACAACCGTCTTGGATGTTGCATTGATTTTGGCCTTAGAGGCTTTCAGTAGGGAAAGCAACAGAGCCATCTGTGCACGGACACCCAAGCCACAGATGTGGGACACAAGATATAGATATCCTTTGTAGCCACAGACTTGTGGTAATTCGTTTAGGTAGAAAAAAAATGCCCAAAGTTTAAAAATGTTATTTATAAGTAGAAAACAGAATGTAGTTTCTCAAGTAAGATACAATGGAAAGATTAGGTATACGGGCTTTGAGGTTAAATAGAAGCGAGATTAAATTTTATATTTTTGATTAGTTAGCTTTTGGATTTGAATGAAGTTCTTTGAACTGAGTCTCAATTTCTAAGTCTGTCATGGCTTTCAGATGGTATAATGACAACTTGTTCAAGAGTTTGGGATGTATGCGTGTGCGTGTGTGTGTGTGTGTGTGTGTGTGTGTGTGTGTGTGCATATATCTAACAACGCAATGCAGGTGGGATTCCTAGAAAATACTGGAAAATGCCAATGCCTTCTGTTATTTTTGTTTATTTTGCCAAGTAGCAACTATATAATCAGAATGTAAATCACAAATCTTAGAATAGTCATATTGACAACCTGAAAATAATGTTTCCCGTTTCCTTCCCTTCTCTTCCTCTTTCACCTTCGTTCTGACCATGTCAGCTTCACTGTGGCTGTCTTAGATTCCAAGTAAGAGAGCTCATGCAATGTTCTACATGATCTTTTCTCAATAGACTGAAGTGTCCAGTGTCCATGAAGAGGTCACCTGGCCTATCTCACTCTTCCTGGTGTCTGCCTATAGATGGACACAGTCTACTGGGGCAGGGTAAAACTATAGTGAAAGCCTGTGTTCCCCAATAGGTGACTCCCAAACATCAAGGCCGAGGAGCAAGAGGCAGGTTGAATCATCCTTAGGGGAAGGAAGGAAGGTTTCTGAAGCATGCAGCCACGTCCTAGGCATTTGACATTGTTGATATCCCATTATAATATCTCTACTGCAGCAGCTCTGAATGTTGGTGATGTTAATGTTCAATCCTTGGAGGGAAAATGAGGGTCAAGAATCAAGGCTTTGATCTTGATACCTGTCTCCGTCAAGTCAACCTCTGCATCAAAGCTGTGGCTCTCCTGAGGTACTCCAAGCTCTACCAGTTTCTAGACCAGGATATTTAGTCACAAGATCCTGGGGATAGGCATTGGCACAGGGCTCCATGGAAATGAAACACCCAGCTTGGACTTGGGAGGCATCACACTGTAGTAACACCTGATTTTATGATAACTTCATTATTTATTTATAATTATTTATTTTTCATAAAGAAACATTTGCTGGGAAAGTAGCTTGCATCAAACAGTGCTAGACACTGTAGGGAAAAGAAACGAACAAGATACACAAGGGATTTGTGATGTAGACCAGTGTTCTCAACTGGGGAACGCTTTGTCCACCAGGATGAGTTTTGGCAATGTCTGAGGACATTTTTGGTTGTCACAACTGAAAAGGATGGGGATGGGAAGGTAGCGGGTGATACTAGTGTGCAGTGGTGATAGTCCGGGAGGCTGCTGACAGAGCTGACAGGCCCACAACAAAGCTATATTCAGTCCAAAATATCAGTTGTGTTGAGGGTCAGACATCTTCACTTAGGACAAGTCATGTAAGATGTAGCTCAGGCTGAAGCCTTGGGTGCAGGAAGAAAAGAAAACTGTCATGATTTCATATCAGGCCACCGATGAGAGGTGCAGAAGGCTTGCTTTGGAAACCAATCCTAGAGATGTACCTGATGATAGAGAATCCTTCTTTGATGAAGGTGGAAAAGCAGATCAGAAACAGCTGTGCTTGTAAATTAAATCCCCAGAGTGTGGCTGATGGACAAGTTCTACTTGAAGTTCATAATGCTGACTAGAAGCAGGGGGCATGGAACAATGTGGTGCCTCCTTCTTAGAATTTATTCTTTTACCCCGCTTGTCAGGGCTTTTCTAAGCTTTTTAATGTCAGCGGTGTGAGATTACATCGCCTGTGAAGTGAAACTCTCTATAATCTATTTTTCCCACCTTTTTTGTTTTTAACTCTAGGGAGCATTTCTAATAAAATGGATCCCTGCCCTACGGATTGTGATCTCTGTCCCTTCAAAGAAGTTCATGAATTACATTGCACGGTAAGATGAAGACTGCAGAGAAGTTGGCAGCACAAAGACCACGAGAACAGCAGCCCCTGATTATTAGCTAAGACTTCTTAAAATGTATTTCCAGGTTGATGGTAATTTGTTCTTCAAAGCAGATTTTTAAGTATGGGGCATATAAAAGCAGCTGACATCTGACAATTCAACAATGCCAATAACTTTTTGTTATATCCGAATCAGACTTCTTTAAGCTATTAACAAGTTTAAATTAATCAGTCTATGCGACTCCAGCTTTAGAAGGACAATTAGAAAACATGTTAAGGGCTGAAGAGATGGCTCAGCGATTAAGAGCGCTAACTGCTCTTGCAGAGGGGCTGGGTTCAAGTCCCAGCACCTGCCTGGTGGCTAACAACTGTCTGTGACAGGGGATCTGATGTCCTCTTCTGACCTCCAAGGGCATTGCACAAAATGGGTGCACCTGCCTACATGTAGGCAATACATTCGTACACATAAAGTAATAAAATATTTTTAAAGGATGATGTGTTGATTGTGCTGTGTTTTGAGGATTATCAGGACTGCCAGGAAGCCTGAGTGTAAGCAATCTCATATTTAATTATTTGTTTATTTTGTACACTGACAGGGCCATATGGGAACCAGGACCTACCACATGCTAGGCAAACTCTTTACCACTGAGCTATGTCACCAGTTCCTGAAGCAACGTTTATAAGCTTATTTAAATTAATTAACCTGGCTTTCAAAAAATATTAACTTATTTTTATGGATATTATTGCTTCTAGTCTTTATATAGTCATTTTCAAAATTTTATCTACATAGATTAAGTGCCTTTGAACATCAACTGTCTGGATAGATAGTTGACGTTGCTGGGCATGGTGACACATGCCTGTAATCTCAGCACTTGGGAGGTGGAGTCAGAAGGATCACTAGGTTGAAGTCAGCATGGGGTACATACAAAGCATATGTCTGAAAAACCAAAACCAAGAAGATGGGGAAGGAGGAAGGGAGGGAGGGAAGAAAGTCAAGTAAATGTATTTCTTCCCAGTCTTTCCCCTTGTCTTAAAGCTTCTCTCTATAATTATCTTAGTTCTCCACTTTCTTGTCTAAATAAATCTAATTATGAGTGCAATAAAGAGTTTTCTATCAACACTGGACTGATACATAACAGTGGTCCTGTAAGCACTTACTACCTAGAACACACCCACCTGGCTGGTGAAAGACACTGTGTATGCCATTCAGTCAATGCCGAAATTGCCTGGCGATTCATTTCCCACAGTATATTCCGCTCATTAATAGATGCGTGACAGAGGGTCCGGTGAGATGGCTTACCAGGTTAAGGCACCTGCCATGTGACCTGGATTCAATCTCCAGAGCCCATGTAAAGTTGAAAAGAAATAACCAGCTTCACAAAGTTGTACTCTGACCTCCACATGTGTGCCACAGCACATGATGCCCTCCCATGTTAAGCACACAGGATAATAATACATTTAAAAAATTAAAAAGAGATACATGGCTGACTACATCATTTGAGACAATTAGTATGATTTAAGGCTGACTTTAAAATTATGTCTGTTTTTTAATATACTCTCTAAATAGTGGGACACCCTCTAATCACACAAATGACAGATTTTCACGTCCAGATGACCACTTACAGTATTTAAAATTGGACAGTTCCTCTACTGCAGTCCATGTTCAAGAAAAAGAAGTTTAGAAGTCAAAAGTTTGGTGAAATCTGTAGCAATTGCTGTGTTGGGCCATTGCTAGGCAGTTCCAAAGGATCTCAGTTCTCCATCATCTTATTCCAGAAGCAAATGAATGGGGTAGAAGTCACCATCCTCATCACGATTCCTGGCTCACAGGTGAACAAAAACAAGTCAGGCAGAATGACACTCCAAGTGGCTCTAGGATCCAAATTTGTATTTGATTATTCAGTAACACTCAAGAAAAAAAGTAGAGTCCTACGCATCCCTTTCTTTCAGTCAGATACATGTTTTCTACCTTCAAGTTCTTAATGAGCTTAAGAAGGGGCGATTGCTAAGAGGGGTGAAACCAGTGAGGCAAGGCCCCTCTTTTAGAGCATGTTTCTGTATTTTCTATGGAAAACTAAGGAAGGGGCGTTATCTATGAAAGAGCTTGGACACTGGATCTAAAGGCCTTTTGAAGCCTTTAAGAAAGTTCTCATACTTAATGTTAACCCTAAGCTTTGCAGTTACAAGAAAGCAGGTAAGGTGGCGGCAAATACAATCAGTATAAAAAGCCAACATCATCCCCTTTCCTGAGTATTTTCTGAGTCTGCGTGTTCAGTGAAGCAGTTTCCCTTCCTTCCGCCTGTTCTTTTCTTCTTTCTTTCCTTTCTTCCATCCGTTCTCCCTTTCTTCATTAATCACTCCCTCCTTCCCTCCCTCTTTTCTTTCCTCTCGCTCTCTCTTCCTTCACCCTCCCGATCTTCCTTTCTTTCTGTAGTAGCGACTGACTCTGAGGACAGAGAGACACGTGCTGTGCTACTCAGTTTCGCCTCTGGTCCTTTTCAGTTTTTATTTTGAGGCAGGATCTCACTAAGTTCCCCAGACAGGCTTTCAACTTGCAATCCTCCTGCCTCAACCTCTCAAGTTGCTGTGATTACAGTCCTGTAACCACCACGTCTGCCTTCATTTTCCTTTGATATATTTAATGAGTTATAAGTCAATTACTTAGGAAAGTAAGTTCTTCCCTGGGGGTCATGTATGTTTGTCTAGACACGGAGTCATTTGCAGAAGTAGCATGTCAGGAATATTCTCTGTAATGTCAGAGCTGTGAGAATCAGAGTCAGAAACTTTCAAGTTGCAAGCAGGTGAGGTTTGGTGGTTAAGGATCGATAACCCACTTCCTAGGCATAGATACAGCACCCTCTGCACAGTGAGCAGTTAATTTGACACACCAGACTCCTGCTTAGGCATTTTTTTTCTTATTTTCATATAGTGTCTAGAATTAACTTGTATTTTCGGTTGATGCTAAAGGCCCTGGCCTAGGCATTTCATTGACTGATTGTAGAAAAATAAAGTTCATAATGAACTGTAAGTGGGAAGCACTGGATTTATAAATGTCAGCGACCAGAGAACTATCTGAATTTGTGGTTCCCAAGGACCAAGGATGTGAGCTGGTCTGCAGTGGGCAGAAAAAGGCCAGCGGGGTTAGTTGTTTGAGGAAATTTTCCAAGGTTAATTCTGAACTATGCAGCCACAGATCCCATGGTCTTTTTTGTGAGGGGATGCCTGCCCTGTCATAGTCTCTTGTAAACACATTGACATGGATTTGAAGAGGAGAAGCAATATTCCTGCTGGATGATCTTAAGATTTAGGCTGACAATTTGAAGTCACAATTATTATTTTTGCAGGTAATAATAACAGCAGCAATGGAAAGAACATGATGCCATATTTATTTTCTTTGATAGCTTGTATGCACCTGGTATTTGTTGTTATCCACGACTTGAAATTCTGTGATCTTATTAGCACAAGTCTCTTAATTGTGCCTATACCTCAACCCTCAAATCTTCCCCTCTCGCCTTCTTAAAAACTGCTGAGCACTGCTCGGGCTGGCACTAAAGCTCCCTCAGCTTCTCTTCTGATCCTCCTAGGGCAGTTCAAAGGCATTTGTAATCCTCAGGATTTGGCCTTTAGTCACTGTTTCCTCTTTCTGGGGCACTCCCTTTTGATGAAAACAATTCCCTTGCCCTTCATCTGGCCAGATGGGCAGGTGGACACTTCTACCCAAAGACCTGGGAGGCATTAGGGATGCAGCACTACTGCTGAGTGGGGCTTAACTGTGTCGACGTGCCAAGGTTTCTGCACTGCCCCAGTGTCCTGGCCTCTGAACTGCTGGTTTCCTCTCCACAGGGATCCCTGTGTCCTCACCCATGTCCTTGAGCTTGTGGGTCTAGGGAAGGATGTGATCAAGGGGCAAAAAACTCTGAACTTGGCTTTTAACCAGAGACATAAATAGACACAGAGGTCATGACATCAAGTTCCTAGAATATTTTTTGCATAGCTTCATAAAATCCTATAATAGATTCACCAAAAAAGGTGATAAATATTCAGTTGTTCACTCATGCCGTGTATTGTGTTGTGCCAGGTACTGCTTCTCTCAACACCAAAACCTTTGAGGGGCTGCAGAGACGCCTAGGCAGTTAAGTGCACCCACTACTCTTTCAGAAGGCAGTGATTCAATTTTCAGCACCCATATAGGGTGACTCACAACTGCCTGTAATTCCAGCTCCAGGGGATCAACACATATGCATATGAGTACTACTGCCTTATTCCCAAGAAAAATTCTATTCATATAAAATCATAAATGTATATTATAAATATTAAAGTATATATGGTATTTAAAATATAAATATGTAGTACAATATATAAAATATTTAAAATATATTGATAATTTTATATATACAAACTTACATGACTTATAAGGAAATGTACAAATATTAGACTGGCCCCATATGTAATTATACATACTTATAAGTCTGAGTTGGCTTTCATTAAACTCAGGGACCTTATGAATGAATACTATCTATACTTTTCAGACTGAAAACCTTTAGCTCACAGCCCTTCTCCTGTGCTCAATGAGCACTGAGAGGATCTGAATGTGCATCTTCTGATCCTTATCTGATTATTTTGTCATCACAGCCATATGCATTGTAGGCTTCTGCCCCTTACCCTTTGCGTCTAGAAGTTGGTTACTCAGTATTTCCTGGCCAATGCTCTTTTGACCAGTATGCTTTGTAAGTCAAATATTTAGTCTATTAATGTGAAAATCAGATTGTGAGTTTCAGTAATTTATCTTGAAATGTTTGCTTTTGATTTCTACAGTGGGCCAGGATGTGGAGAACCACATGACCACATGTATAATATATAAAACGTATGTTCCAGAACATATTTGCACTGATTTCTTTTTAAGGCATAGATACTCCCCTTTTCAAAAACATTGCTGTTATGAGAATGGCCTTCCCTTCGATAAGGATAATGTTTTTTTGACTTCAAATCACAGACAGTACTTAAATTTATGATGGACCAGAGAGTTTCTTTTCTGCCTTTTAAATATCAGGCCAGGTGTGGTTTTGCACGCCTTTAATCCCAGCACTCAGGAGCCAGGGGCAGGCAGATCTCTGTGAGATCAAGGTCAGCCTGGTCTATGTAGTGAGTTCTAGCTGAGCTGGTGCTACAGGAAGATGCTATCTCAAAACAAACAAATAAACAGCAACAACAACAACAACAAAAGGTAGTTGATGCCTTATTTATCAGACAGAGTCAAGATAAAAATTTGTGCTTAATGGACTATTGAGAGTGTCAGCATGTTGTGGGAACAGGCTTACGCACCCTAGTATGCAACTGGGATTTTCTGCTTGAATTTAGCTCACTTTGGACCAAACACTCTTATTTCCTTGGCATTTCATTGGTCATGAACTACTTTCCATGGTTGTACATTAAACAAAGTTTAAAGAATGTTTGGTACATGAATTTAAATATTCCTCCAGGAAAATAGAAAGGTTTAGTAAGCTTGTTTGAGTTTTTATGTTTATGGATATTTTTCTTCTTGACTTAGCAACTTAGGGGAAAGCCCATTGTTGCTAGTTGTAATGCAAGTGAAATGAACCGATGATTCTTGAGTCTCTAGTTTGTTCTTACTGCCATGTTAGCTAGGTGTTGTGAAAGACATAAAGAAATACACTGAATCCCATTTTCACCATAAGTTTAATTGAGGAAACAGGACAGACGTTCATAGGCTAACCAAATGGAAGGCAATGGAATGGTCTGTAGTAAAAGATCTGTGTATTTCCATGGATGAGGGTGTTTATGAAATAATTCTTTGTACCCATTTCAAGTTTCTATCAAGAGAGATCAAATAAAGCAATTAACAAAGAATTGCCATCAAATTATAATTTAAATGGCTACCAAAACATACGGGACAATTCAAAATGCTCATATTTTTCCTCAAGAATTTTGGTACTCTTCACTTTCCTTGGGAATGGGGTAATTAAGAATTCCAGTGCAGAACAATCTGACCAGAACTATTTTTATTGTTGTAAGAGTTCTACAGGCTAAGAAAGATAAAAAAGACTGCAGTGAAAATGTATTTCACATTCACAGCTGTCATAACTGGATTTTGTGCTTAAGGTAATCAAATCAATCAATTCCATACTAAAAGAAACAAGCCTTATTGGATTCATGAGGGATTTGATGACACATAGACTCCACCTGGGCTTCTAAGCTTTTCTTGGTTACTTCAACCTGTCAACCCAAAGCAAAATTTGTCGATTGCAAATGGAACTGTAACTTATGCTGAAACTTGTACAAACTGAGAAGGAATTTCAAGTAACTGGTCTCTCACAAATGACAACCAAAAGCATCCCGAGAGAGAGAAAGGCAGTTTGAACAATTGCTACAAATGCAACTCCTAGGGCTCTACCGTGTTAAGCTGCTGCCTTTCCAACTTTTTTTTTTTTCTCACTAGCATTTGCACTAAAATCTTCCAAGAAACTTTTATTAAACAGGGAAAGCATAAGCTGTCTGGGTGGAAGAGGAAGAAGGAGCGCTGCTGGATTACTTGATCCCTCCTCCATATATACCACAGAAGGGCTCCCAAGAATCATGGGTTGGACCAAAAGACTCACCCAGCACTATGTGTTACACAATTCATTCAAACTTAAATAAATTTACTTCATAGGCATTATCTAATTCCTGAGCTTAAGTTTATGTTGAAGAGAATCAAGGTCATGGGACTCAGGGGCCAATGGCCACAAAGTCAGCACAAACTGGCCCAGAGCACAGAGGTGAGCAGAGTCCTGGGGAACTCACTTTTCAAGTCTCTTCAAGTCCTTTTTTCCTGTGTTTCTGAAATCCAGCTACCTCCCTTCCTTCTCCATAGACTGATTATTCAAATAATCTTTCAAACTGCATTTGCAATTGACAAATAATCTTTCAAACTCCTTTTGCTAAGAGCTTGTACAAAGTACACCTTTTTTCCCCTTCTTTTTAAATTACAGCCCAAATCCTGATTGCCTGAAATACTGGGATCACAGTTGTTCATTTTTTGAAAACGTTTTATATATTATTTTTATTTTATGTGTAAGAGTGTTTTGCTTGCATGTGTGTAAGTGCACTAGTGTCATGCAATGCCTGTGGAGGTCAGAAGAGGGTGCTGGATTGCCTGGAATTGGAGTTATGGATGGTTGTTAGCCACCAGGTGGGTGCTGGGAATTGAACCCCCCTCTTCTGCAAGAACAGCCAATACTCTTAATGAGATGGCACTGAGCCATCTCTCCAGCCCTGGTTGCTTTGCGATTGTAATGATATTTATGGGGACCATTTAATGTGATATAATAAAAAATAAGAACTCACTGCTCTCAGGCAGTGTATAGAGAGGTATCTGGTGACAGACTGTGAAGTATGGAGCACTAATGTCAATTTAAGGGCTCTGATTGACAATTTAGCTTATGATCGGGGTTCCATAGGTCATCCTGAATTCAGGTCATTCTACCTGCTATTAACAAAAAAGACTTCATTTTTTTCATTGCTTAATTTCTCTAACAAGGACTCCAAAGGTCATCCAGTGAATGAAAAGCCCACTGTGTGGTATCCAGGAGAACACAAAGATCATTCTCAGGACATTTCTTACTTGGAGGAATTGGAGAAACATCGATTTTCAGTCTGGTGAGTGACGATATTGGGCCATTTTATTGTTAAATTTAAACTCACTAGCTCTTTATTCATCCTCTTCTATTTTATTCATTTACTCCACAAAAATTGATTGCATGCTTATTGTACACTGTAGAATACCCACCCTGGCTTGGAGACGTTGATAGTCCAAAGATGGATATGGATATATAAAAACATTAATACGCTATGATTTATATTTTTCTTCTCACAAAGCGCCACATGCACACGAGAAAAGGTGACGACCAAGTTTACTAGAGAAATGAAGAAAAGATATCTAAAAGTGTTTGAGTCCAATCCTAGAGAAGCTTGTAATGGAGAAATGGTGGTAATGTAGAGGAGGTAGAGACCAGAGATTGAATTGGGAGGACGGTTGGGGATTATACATGCTGAAAATCTAGGTCACCTTCTATCCAGACAGAGCATAACTATTGTTCCCTCTGTCTGGTTTGTGTAGATGGTTCTATTTGTATCTCTGCAAATGAACACAGAACAAACATGGAAAGAGGTTATGTCAGAATGAAGGGACAGATTGATGGGTGTTCTGGTGATGGTCTCATCAAGGAACCACAGCATTGGGACGACCAGGAAGAAGAAACAGAAGGAATAGTCAAAGCCATCTGTTCCCATCCACTGCTTCTATGGTCACCCCAAGGTCTATTCCCTGAATTGCTTTCTTATTGGTCACTTTAACTGCCCTGTGATTTATTTTTCAAAGTTTGGCCATACCCCTCCATCCAGACCTACTGGGTTGAGGACATGAGATGAGGTCAAATCTCATTATGTTCTATAACTCCTGCTGGAATTTACTTAAATTTAGAGGCTTAAACACTTTATATATGCTTCCTAAAAGCAACTAGAGTGTGGTCTCCAGGTTCAACAGCAGCTAGGATGCTGTAAGAAGAAAGGGCTGGGGCCAGTGCTAGGCTGTATTCCAAGTTCTTGATTCCTGTTTGAGGATCGCTTTGGCTACAGTATAAAAAGAAACACTCTATTAAGTTCAAGCTCTTACATTTGTCTAATTTTTCAGGCTTTCTCTGAAAGATTCAGGAATGATCTGCAACATGAGAGAATCAGTCTTATTTTACAAATAGGGTTGAAAGGTTGGTGTTAGTTCCTTGTCACTATAACAAAAAGCCTGACAGAAGAAACTTAAAGGAGTAGAGATACATTTTGATTGAGGAGTTCAGATGGTGTACCCCATAACAGCAGGGAAGGCATGACAAAATAACTTCATGTCAATGGGCATGTGTGGTAGAATTCCTCACATGGTGACTTGTCCAGGAATCAGAGACCTCAAAGGCCAACCAAAAGGAGATATAGCCTTCATGTCCTGAACCCAATGATTCACTTCTGATAGCTAGGTCATGGATACCAAATGTTCTAGAGTATCACAAAACAGTGATCCAAGCTAGGGTCCCAGGACTTAAATGCATGAGCCCGTGGTGGCCATTTTCCATTCAAATAGTAGCATCCTACACCTGTCTCTGATAGGCACTTGGCGCTCTCATAATGCAAAGTGCATTCACTCCAACTTCAAAAGCCCCACAGTCTTCACAGTTTCAATATTGTTCAAAACTCCAGAGTATCTCAGAGACTCAATCTCTTTACTGTGAGACACTGTAAATTTAAAGGCAGAAAAAGAAGCTGCATATTTCCAAAAGGGAGGAATGGGAGGACAAGGAGCAGAAGACTGAACCAAGGTATGATGAAAACCCAGCAGGGCAAATATATCTTGTAGCATCAAGTCCAGCATCCAGGGAATGAGATGAAGAGGTGGGACGCCCCATCCCTATATCCCTGTCATCCATAGCCCATGTGGCCTCTCTCCTGGGCTGCCTCCATTTTGTGTTTGAAGCTTTGCTGCAGAAATTCCATGGTTTTACTATCTTCAACATCCAGGGTGTTCACTACAATTTAGGACCCACCTTGTTCAAGGGCCATGCTAATCTTCTCTGTATCAGTCCAATTTTAGTATATGTCCTACTGAAGTGAGTACCCGGTAGATGCACACATAGCTCTTGGAGGAGCTCCATGCAGATAGTCCAACCCTGTTCATACTTCCTGGCTTCATAGGCTTTGTGTGTGTGTGTGTGTGTGTGTGTGTGTGTGTGTGTGTGTGTGGGGGTGTGTGTGTGTGTGTGTGGGGGTGTGTGTGTGTGTGTGTGGGGGTGTGTGTGTGTGTGTGTGTGTGTGTGTGTGTGTGTGTGTGTATGTGAGGGAAAGAGAGAGAGAGATAGAGAGAGAGACCTTTGTGAAAGCCTTAATGATCATACAACTTTCATACTGCATGCTTGAAAAGCAAACGCTAAGTTCTAGTGACAGTTCAAGATACAGCGGGCACCGTGTAGCATGGCTGTGGTAGTGGCCTGGTGCCTGTACAACTGCCCTTGGGAAACAATTTCCTAAGTGCTCTGTTTGAACAGAGTACCCCTGGAGCTCTATTTTTTTTAGGTGCTCTCTTTTTAAAAGAAAACTTCTAAAATGAGCTTGCATTTTACATTCTGGAGTCTTTGATCGATGGGGTCTTGACCTTAAATAAGCTTTGCTAAGCACAAAGTGCTCAGTTTCTGCTTTATGGTACTAGTTCTAACAATTACAGATGATTTTCCTAAGACTTCTTTTCATGTAACTTGAATTTCATTTATTCTCCTTTTATATTCAGCTTGTTTTTTACTTCCTTCTGATCTTCCTTGAACTCCCTGTAGTTTTCCAAAAGTAGTGAGCAGCAACCTTGCCACTGACTGCTATACTGTATTGACATTTCCTTGGTTGAATAAACTTTAATGCACTATTGTTTAATTCATCTTTACTAAATGTTCAGAACAATGGCAAAGCACAACCAGATTCTCTACCTGATTTTAACATGAATGGCTTGGGTCCAAGTCTTGACAGAGCCTTTGTTCCCTTTTGGAAACTCATAAGTGCAATCTTTACTGCCTGCATTCCTACCAGCATTTTGATCTTCTAGACTTTTGTCAGAACCATTCATTACCCTCAGCTTACAAAATTCTAGTGCTTCTTCAGCTGAAAGTTCTCAACTCTTCCACATTCCTCCTGAAGACCTATTCCAAAAGCCTACAAATCGCATGGTCAGATTTACCACCAGCAATAATCCTACTTCTTCATACCAATTTTCAGTATTTGTTACTTTTCTCATTGCTTTGACAAAATATCTGACAGGAGAGACTCAGCAAGGAAGGGTCTGTTTTGCTTCATGATTTCATAGTGCTCCATTCACTACTATGAGGAAGATATGACAGAGCAGCTCTGTTGTATACAATGTATAGTAAAGCTCCTCATATGCCATGAACTTGGAGCAGAAGCAGATGTAACCTTCAAGGCCTACCCCAGCGACCACGATCGTCAGCTAGGTACTCATACCAAAACTTTCACAGAACAATGCTGTCACATATGTTCACACACATGAGCCTGAGGGTAGGGGGTCATTTTCCATTCAAGCCATTATAGTTCCCAAGGATATTGGGGCTTTGGTTCTAAACTTTTAAGTACAAGTCCCTGGTGTTAGGCATTCAGTGGGCTTCCACTGAAGCACCTGGTCTGGACCAGGGACTAGCACTACATACTCTTAGGGAAATCCTCTTCTACTTCTGTTATTAATATCCCCCATTAATTTAAAAATACTTTTGTGCTTCTCTCTCTTATAGGCTAGGCATCTTACACATTTTGGTTCTGCTGGCTGTGTGCAGAGTCACTGAAAACTTAATGACATATGATTACCCTTTATTTAGTTTTGAGGACTGTGAATTCAGGCAGGACACATCATAACCCCTATTATATTGTTCATAAACGTCACGGGGCCATCCAAGTGGGTAGAAGGCATCAAAGACTATTCCTTTTGATTCAAGAGTTAAGAGAGGAGACATTGCAAAAGAACAGGTTGGGGTGGAAGATACAGTGTGGCTGTCTTGAAACACAATCTCACAAATTCTACTTCATTTCTACATGTGAGACTCCATTACTGGGGTCAACACATATTTGTTGAACAAAACACATAAGTTAAAATAGATGAAAACATGACGGCTTTAGAAACGCATCAACCTGAGTGTGAATTCTAGATCCATCACTGCTGTGTAACCTTGGACAATGTGTTTAAACCTTCTATACCTAGTTTCTCTTTTGTTGAGCTGCTACAATTAATTCCTCTCCTATGGGATTTTACAGTTACTATGAAAGTTGAATGATAATCTGTATAAGGTATACTTCCTGTGTAGGGACTGAAAATGTAGATATTTAATAAAAACAGTTATTTTGGGAATCATTAATAATGATGATGCATTTTACAGAAATACCCATTTTAAAAGTTAAAGCACAGGCCTGTTATGTTCACAGCTTGGTCAGTCACCAGCTTCTGGCAGTGTTAAGAGGAGATGGAGCCATTAGGAAATGGAAAGGAGATCGATCACTGGGAGCATACTTTCGAAGGGGATGATGGGACCAATGCCCTCTCCTATCTCTGTCCTTGGAATCTAGCTGTCACGAGGTCCACAGCTTCCAGATCTGTGCTCTTCCATGGTGTACTGCATTGGTATAGGCTCAGAACAAGAGACCCAACCAACCATGGACTAAAACCTCTGAAAACACAAGCCCAAAGAAACCTTTCCTATCTTAAGATGTTTATCTCAGGTAATTTGTCACAGTGACCAAAAGCTTACTAACACAAGGGCATAGGTCACTTTAAGACCATTTGTCATTTTCCAATATGACTTTTTTTTTTATTTACCAGATACATTGAGTGCTGGGTGACATGAAGACTTTTGAGATTCATGTTTTCTTTACTTGGAATGTTCTCGCAGTTCCTTAGTGATGTGGTTGGTAGAGCCTATGGAAGCTCTCTGTTTTCCTAAGAGAGGCTATTTCTGGTGATAATACATAAAAGTACAATATGTCTCTAATGTGGTTATTTTCTTTCTTATCATCTTGTTTGTTTCTTTTGAGTTTTTAACCACAATTTAAAAATAATATTTTATATTTATTTATTCATTTTTCTTCTCTCAAACCTCACTCAACTTGCAGGTAGGAGATCTTCTGGCCTGTTTTTTTCAGGCTTAAGACCTGTTGTCCCTGGTATATGCTTTGACCTTATTAGTTAATATTTATTGAACAAATAAATAGAAGAATGGATGTATGTAGGCAAGTCACTATCTGTTGGTCTGTTCACCACTACATCAATTATTTCCAAACTTGTCTTTCTCTTGAAATTTCTGCCATTTTTAAAAGGGTAATATGGGAACCTTAACCACTCTGCACATCTCTTTTTGAACCAGAGCAGAGGATATGGGGGTAACTGACACCTCAAGAAACTTCTGTTTTCACTGATCTGAGACAAAATCTGAACAATTTCCTTGATGTTTTTTACTAGAGTAAATCATGTGTTGGGGCAGCCTTTCCCCAAATCCTCTCCAAATCCCCATAAAATGCATTTAACACAGAACACTGTACAACTTGCCTTCAAAGCTAACTATGATGCCAAGTGGGCAGTCTATGCTCTACTCCAGTGTGTTTAAATGATGTGTTTTCTCTCTCTGTGTATTCTGTCATGCACTCCAACTCCTTCTGAAACCCCATTCCTCCTTTGTTCCTACTAATTTTGAAAATTTTGGTAGATTTTTGTAAACCTCAGCAAAATAGCATTCTTTCTTTCTTTTTTCAATGTATGGAAACTTTAGCTAGGCAAATGCAAATTTCATTTTTAGCTGCCAAACATTTAACATAATGACCCCAAATGTAATTTTAAGACTGTTTGACTTCTTTCCTCAGCCAGCAAGATCTTTAGCTAAGTTGCTTGTGAGTCTATGGAACAGAACATGGTCACTGTCTGTCCTCTCCAGTTGGCCAGGAGAGTCTGGGAATCACAGGTGCAGGTTCTTGGGTTCATTCCCAGAAGGGGCAGCAGCCATACTGTGTTCAGTGTGCAGGCCTTGTGCTCACGTTGTGATTACAGCCTTTTTTCAAATATATAATATACTTGTATGATAACTTGGCTAACCTTTGCTTATGGTTTAGATACTATGTGAGAGATCTCCAAGGGATTCCTCCATGCTTTTGTAAACTGCAAGTGTTTAACAAAAGTGGAATTCATGTATGAACAATGGAGGTAAAAGAAGAATCTTTCCAGAAGTTCTGTAGAAACTTGAAGCTGACTTCAGGTATTCTTGGCCAAGGTATCTGTGGTGTATATTGTTTTTTCTATGCTTGCTCTTAGCCCAGAGGTCGAGAAGTGGCAGATACTGTTTCTTCTAGATGGATATCTTTCCAGAAAGTTACTTCCCATCATATGACCACTGTGATCAGACTAGGGACAGGCAGAACATCTGAAGAAGGTCCCCACACTCTTCCTTGGGATTTTGTTTTGTGATGTAGAAATTCCTTCTTCTCAAGGTCCTGCGCAGGAATGACTTCATTTTGATGTCCTGTGTCTATGGTAATCCTTTCACTGGCACATTGGCCTTCTTGTTCGTAGTTACCATTTATAGTTGGCTTGAAACTAAAAGATGTAAGCCTTTCATCAATGCTGTCTGGGTGGCATGCACAGTATGAGGATTTTCAAAGGCTAATGGAAGGGTAAGTGATAGAAACTATTTGAAAGATATGGGTACATATGGATGAGATGGTATGAATACACAAAAATGCACACAGCAGCTCCTCAATCTGCTGTGTTGCCTTCCGTGGTTGCAATTACATGCAGGAGACTGTGGTCCAAAAATATTAAATATGAGTTCATGTGCCATTCAGAGTAGCATCATGAAATTTTGTACCATCTTTCTCTGTCCAACAGGACAGGACTCATCCCTTGGTCTGGCATATTCATGCTGGACTTGCTACACATTGTTACTGAACTAACATTTCTGTATCTAGATTGACTGTTACAGGGCCATGGGGTATATGTACAATAACCCTCGCACAACAGCCTGGCAATATGCAATAGTTCTGGTTACTTACCTCCCTTCATCCCTTCACACAGACATTGTACTGTCA